ATTTGGTGGGACCACACTGACCTCTTCTACCCCAGCCACCACAAGCCAGGTGACACTGACATTTGGCTCCCCTGCTTCAGCTTTTGGCAGTTGCGCTGGCGCAGCTGCGAGCCAGCCGCCCACCAGCCAGCCTGCTGCTGGCCCCAGCAGCTTTGCCCCCACATTCAGCTTTGGAGCCCCTGCAGCCCAGTTGGCTGCTCAGCCGACATTCGGCAGCAGTGCTCAGCCAGCCTTCGGCACAGCCAGCACCCAGGGCTCCTTCGGTACCAGCAGCACCCAGGCGGCATTTGGGACCACCACATCGGTCTTCTCCTTTGGGACAGCCACCTCCACCACCGCCAGCTTTGGTTCCACCACCCAGACCACGAGCAGCAGCAGCACTGGTGCCACCATCTTTGGCACCACCCCTTCTGCTTTCAGCTTTGGAGTGACCACCCAGCCAGGACCCTCCACCAGTGCCTTTGGGGTCGGCACGCCAGCCCTGAGCAGCGGCTCCCCTGCTGTAGCTTTCAGCTTTGGGGCTGGGCAGAGCGGGGCAGCCCTGGCAGCAACACCATTCGGCTCCTCCCTGGCGCAGAGCACGCTGGGTGCACAGAGTCAGAGCACACCCTTCGCCTTCACCATGCCCAGCACACCCAACAGCAAGCCTGTGTTTGGAGGTGAGTCGGGGCGGACGGGGCTTCTGCACGGGTGAAGGGCAGGGTTAGATTTAGGCAGCAGCTCTCCTGCCAGACCTGGCTGAGCGGCCCAGGCTCAGCAGCCCTGAGGGCTGGTGCTGGGGCTGTGCAGAGCCTTGCCATGTGAAGGGAAGGTGCTTCCCTCACTCGTTGCCCCAGCCCCAGGGGGTGGAGGGGAATCCGAAATGTCACTCCTTGCCCCCTCTGGATGCACTGGATGCCTCGGCCCCTGTGGGTGCTAAGCCAAGGCAGGTGCTGTGCAGGAGCCAAGGTCTTGCCAGTGCATAAAAGCTACTTGGAACATCTTGGCAGGTACAAATGCTGCCAGACAGGAGTTGCAGTCGATTCCTGCTCACTCTCTGAGGCTTTCCCTACCACTTTGCATGCACCCTGGGCCAGCTCAGCTCCCAGAGAGCTGAAACCCCCATGCTGAGTAATTCCTTGATCTAGAAAGACAGAGACCTTCGTTCCTGCCTGGTCTGCAAATCCTCCTGTGCTGCCCTGCTGGCAGGAGAGCTCAGGGATTACCACAAGAGCGCCACTTCTTGCATTAAAAGGGCTTCTTAGGTGAAAAGGCTGATCTTGGGGACTGCGGTGCTCCAGCCCCTGGGGGCAGAGCTGTGCCTCCTGCAGGTGCTGCCAGCTTCCTAAAGCCAGGCTCTTCCTCCTTTGCTGACCCCAGCTGATGGTGGCATCTTGCTTTCCAGGAACTCCTGCACCTACTTTTGGGCAAAGCACACCTGTCCCAGGAGCAGTGGGGAGTGGAAGCAGCAGCCTTTCCTTCAGGACTCCCAGCACTCCTGCCTCAGGCTTTGGAGGAGTTGGCACTTCCTTTGGTAGGGAGGGAGTTAGTGCTTCAGGCTTTAGGAGCTGATGGGTCGTGTAGTCCCCTTGGGCTGGGGGATGGTGGAAGGGCCAAGCTGTGCTATAGGAGCCAGCTTGGGTGGTGGCTGCTGGGCTCTGGGGATGCAAAACCTTCCATTCCCACTGGGATAGGGATTGTGCCAGCTTGGAAGGTGGCTGCAGAGACCTGAGCAACCTTTGTGCTTTCAGGTTCGTCCGCCCCCGCCTTTTCCATCGGGGCAGGATCCAAGGCCGGTGCTCGCCAGCGGCTACAGGCACGGAGACAGCATACCCGCAAAAAATAATGGCCAGTGCTGCTGGTCCCCCACCCGTGGGGGCTCCAGTCCAGAGCAGCACCAAGGTGGGAGCGGAGTGATGGGGCCAGGCTCCATCTCTGCTGCCAGCAAGAAACCGTGCTGGGTGGCAGCGCCTGAGGTGGTGAGCCAAAAACTTCTTACTTGAACAGTTCCACAGCCAAGGCTGGGTGAACCTCTGTACATATCTGCAATGTTTCCTTCCTGGCTTTGCCATGTTTCATTAGGTGTAAGCTTTTCCCCATGTGCTTCTCCTCACTGAGCACCCCCAGCCAGCCCCCACCATGTGGCATGGCAGGCAGCAGAGCCCCATGGCTGCAGAGGGGCTGCTTTCTGGGCTCCTGAGGGATGCTGTCTTCACCAGGTCTGAAATCTTCCCCCCCCACGGGGGCCTGGTGAACACACTCCTTCCGCAGGGCTCTGCTTTGTTGCCCTCCCCACGGCAGTGGAGCTGGGGTTAGTGCCATCCTGGCCTGGGCCCCCAGGTGCCGTGGGTGACCAGCCCAGTCTCCACAGTGGGGTGACAGCCCCTTGCAGCTGAGGATGCACCGCACCCTGGTACCTCAGCCAGGGATGGGGATCTTTTCCCCCTCAGCCCTCACTGCTCCCACTGTCCCACTCGTGTAAAGCCCTTTTCTTGTTTAGCTTATTTGTGCTCCTGTCCCCATGCGCTCATTGAATCAAGTTTGGAGGAAGAACTGATCCGTGTGCGTGGCGGCATGTTGGTTATGCCGGATTTGCTGTAGGGAGTTTTATTCTTTCAGGGAGCACCCATCCCTTTTTGGAGGACATGTCCTGGCTAATTGGGTGTTAGCAGCAGCATCACTGTGTGGCTGTTCGCGCAAGGGCTTGTCCCCATGCTGTGGTGACTGAAAGCAGCCAGGGCTGGGTGCTCCAGCCCTGGCAGTCTCTCCCCTCTCCGTGTTTGGGTGCTCTGGAGCCAGCTGGGGAGTCGAGAGCGGATGGGCATCCTCCCCAGATCCAAATTGTTTTCCGTCTGTGGCTCATCCCCACCCCTTTGGGGTTTACCAGCTCTCAGGAGCTGCGGTGCTGTCTCCCCTGGGGCCATTCAGTGGGAGAGGGGCAGAGGCTGCCAGAGCCAGGGGTCACCCGAGAGCTGCAGCCCCTGCCTGTGGTGTCCCCACCACCTCCAGGAGGGCTTTGCTGCCAGGTCTTTATTCTCCGAGACGTGTGAGTGTGTGTGTCAGGTGGAGACTAAATTACAGAAAAAATACAAATATTTAAATGTTTTTTAATGAAATAAAACTTTATTTTTATATTTAAGCTCAACTGCCTTTGAGTTCCTTCAAGCTTGGTTCAGTGAGGGCGCAGACCCCGGAGCACTGTTGGTAGTGTTCAGATGTGCTGGCCCCTGCCCAGCACGGCCCAAGGGACTTGGCTGTGCCGGGGAAAGGCAGCTTCATACCGTGGACTCTGCTGCACTCCCCAGCCTGTTACAGCATCTCCTTCCTTCTAAACTGGTATGTACATGGATGTGACTAAAGAGGTTTTGTTTATTTTTGTTCTTCTCCAAGGATGAAGAGCATTCTGATGGTGAGGGGCTTTCTGGGCCACCAGGACCAAAGTGTCGGTTCTGACATTTCTGTTGAGGATTTTTTACTGTTCTATTATTCTAGAAATGTTCTGCTATTGTACTACTATTGTTTTGCTTTGCTCTTGTTTTACTGTGAATGTGCAATTTTTTTTCCCCATGCTTTTTATGTCCCCCATTTAAAATAAACAGACGATGTTCACACCTGCTTGCCCAAGTTTGATTCCTGGGCCAGAGCACATGGTGCTACTTCACTGCACATTCTGCTTGTGGGTACTTGCTCCCACTGTTCAACTACACCTGTGGGGTTCAACAATACTCGTTCATACTATTATTCCTATTTATTTTTATTTCACTTGTTTTCCTCCTCGAGCAGAGTCCCGTGGGACCCTTTGCACTGCAGGACCCATCAGTGTCCTCCCTTAGCTCCCTGAGCAGGTCCTATGCCCCAGCAGACCTCCTGTCCCACCAAGGGAGTGAGCAGGTCCCAGCATCCCCAGCTCTACCTCGGCAGGCAGGACCCCTTCTCCCTTCGGGACTAGGTCCTTAGTCAGAGGCTTCCTCTTGGAAGCTCACTGCTGCAGCAGTCTGTGGGCTGTTGGCTGTGCAAGGATGGGTGAAATGTCTTTAGTAACACTTTGGAAGGCGCTGCCGTTGTCGAGGCCGAGTTTTGCTGAGGGACAGTGAAACGGAGATTCATGAACCACTTTATCCGATTTAAAATGCTTTCTCTTGCCCCCAATGTAATCTACGTGTTTAAATTTTGCCTCGGAAAGGTTAGGGGCGTAATTCCTGTATTTGGCACGTGGACGTGGCCTCCGTGTGGAGATCTCTACATGCATGGCCAGACTGGGGAGATTCCTTGGGTGTACAAACCCTTCCCTGCTTGTCTTTCAAGCGACCACTTCTTCATGCAGGCTTGATGAAGCACTAGAGATAATCGTGTCGGAATTTAGCTTGTCACTGGCTATTAGCGCTAACATGCCATTTATAAATCTGCAAAGGAGATGCTGAGTAAGAGCCTCAGAGGGTATTTCTTAACCCCCTTAGCACAACAGGATGGCTGTAGGTAAAAGACCCCGCATTACAGAAGCTTGATCTCGGCTGAAGTACAAGCTTAGTGCTGGGAAGGCCATTTCCTCCAAAGTCTTTTTCTGCAGCTCTCTGGTAGTGGGATCTTGATGGTATTGACCAACAAACAAGTGTACGTGCTTGCATTTCGTGTCCCGTTTGTAGGTGAGCAAGAGCATACGGTGAGCATCCGAATAAATAATCAGTATTGAGAGCTGGTTGGTTCTTGCCCGTGTCAACAGGAGCGTAACTCCCTGCGCGGCTGTTTCCTGACCAATGAGCTGACCTTTCCAAAGGGACATGTCCAGGCAGCAAGAGGCTGCTCTTGCTCCGTTGCTGTGGTTACGGCCCGGCAACAGTTCCCAGGGCGTAGGGAGCTCAGCTCCATGTTGTGGTTACAGCCCTGCGACAATTATGAGGACGTAGGTTGCTCAGCTCCGTTGGCTTGGCCACAGCTCTGTGACCCTTGCAGCGGGCAGTAGAGCTGCAGTGGCTGCTGCGTACACAGCGGGGCTGGAGAGCCGAGGCAGGAGCAGCGGCATCATGCTGGGCCAGAAGACGAACCTCAGCAAGCGCATCCGTGAGATGCGTGCCAGCATAGCCTTGCAAGGTGCTGCCCCGTTGGCTTTGCGTTATAGCCAAGTAGGGGGCTTTTAGTCCCCGCATCATCCTGCATGGTACCAACAGCTCCTCAATGTCCTGCAGGGCAAGCAAGGAACTTGTACAGCAAGCCACAGGAAGAGAAGTTCACGCAGAACGTGGAGCGGCTGCCCCAGCTGCGAGAGGCGGTGCAGGAGGATATCTATGTCCTGGGCCTTGCCCGCAAGGTACCGGCAGGTCCCATTTGCTGCCTCCGTGACTGTGACTCTGCTGGACGTGCAGAGCTAGCTTCTCCACTGGTCCTGTCCAGGAGCAGGGAGTGCAGGGCAGCAGGAGGCTGGGACCATCCCCAGGCTGGCAGTGATGTGTTCTCTGCCCTTCTTCTGCCCACAGCATGAGCTCACCATCGCTGAGGCTTGCGGAGCGGAGCAGCCCTTGGGCATTGCTTTGGCCAGTAAGCCGTTGGAGGTAATAGCAGAGTCCAGCGGGGCCAGGCTGCTGGCAGTGGGCTGGGGTTCAGGGGATGCTCAGAAGGAGCGGTTGGAGGGAACAGGCAGCTGGTGCCAGCACCACGACAGCCCCGCAGGGCTGGTGCAGTGAGACACGGGGCGTCCATGAGCGGTCCCGTGGGACCCTTTGCACTGCAGGACCCATCAGTGTCCTCCCCTAGCTCCCTGAGCAGGTCCTTTGCCCCAGCAGAGCTCCTGTCCCGCCAAGGGAGCGAGCAGGTCCCAGCATCCCCAGCTCTACCTTGGCAATGAGTTTTGCAGGCAGGACCCCTTCTCCCGTGGGTGCCCAGCGAGCCCTGCCTCCAGCCTGGCAAATGCTCACATCCCATGCAGGTGGCCCAGGAGAAGCTCCGGGCTGAAGTCTATCGCCAGGTGAACACATGCAACATGCTGCTGTACCTGGTGGAGCAGCGGAGCCGGGCCAAGGAGCGGCTGCAGAGGCGGCTGCAGCAGCTGCAGGATGTCCAGAGGGCCGAAAAGCAGCAGCAGGCACAGGTGCCAGGGCCCCTCCCTGGGGTGGCAGCACCCGTGGGGGGTTTCAGTCAACCCTGCCCCCCTGGGTGGGCACTGGTCTCAGTAGATGGGCTCACCCCTTGTCTCCAACCTTCTCTGCCCCAGGTGGTTCGTACCCTGGAGGGCAACATAGAGAAGATGCAAACAAAAGTCCGCGCTGGGCAGAAGGTGACTGCCCTGTACGTGGCGGTGCGGGATGCCCTGAGGAAGGTGAGCTCATCCTCACCGTGCCGTTGTCTCACCCGCTCCCCCTGCAAAGGCACTGAAGGGCCCAAGGGGCTGTGCTGGTGGGACACCCTCCTGCAGGAGGTCCTCCTGCTCCCCTCCACCTTCTGTCCCAGCACAGGGCACCCCTGGGACTCAGTGGGCTCTGGCTCCCCGTGTCCCAGGAGCTGGCCCACCTGCCTCTGCACCTGGACCTCCTGAGTGAGACGGCCGAGCTGCAGCATAGGGAGGTGGAGGACATGGAGCTCATGGCCTCGCGTGGGCTCAGAGCTGCTCGTGGAGCCGAGGTGAGACCATCGTCCAGGGCACCTCAGGGTGCTTTCCTGCCCTCCAGAGCCCACACATGGCACCAGACGGCCGTGCTGCTGAGTCTTCCTTCCTTCAAGAAAAAGCAAGACTGAGCTTGGCTTCCCCGCAGCACCCAGATGCCTCCATAGCTCCTCCTGTGTCTGGCTCTTGGGCCGGGCTGCCCTGAGCTGGGGACAGCTGCCTGAAGCCCTGGCCACGGGGAAGGTGGCATTCTCCATTCTCTAGCTGGCCTTGCTCACTTTCCTTCCCAGGCTGTTTACAGGGGGTAGGGGGTGGCATTCTTGATGCTGGCCATGCCAGGCTTAGAAGCTCACAGAGGTCCGCTGGAGCTTTGGGAGCCACTTCTCTTCTGCTCTGCTCCAGGAGCGCATGGTCAGGACGAAAACCCAGGTCCTTGCAGAGAGGGAGCTCAGGCTCCGCACCCAGGCTGCTCAGAAAGAGCCCAGAGACGGAGGCTGGCTCAAGGAAGCAAAAGAAAGGGCTCTGAAAACGGTGAGCTGGGGGACCCCGGCACATTCAGGGTTGCCGGCATAGGGCGGGCATCAGTGCCCAGCCTGCCATGGGTGAGGGGCTGCAGGGCCAGCTCCCCCAGGCTGCCAGCAGCTCAGGGGTGACGATGAACATCCTTGCAGCAAGCCAAGCATGACCTCAGCAGGGACTTCCTGAGCCTGCCCGCAGAGGACCCAGTGGTGGGTGAGTGCCTGTCAGGGTGCAGGGGGGGGATGCAGGCGCAGCCGCAGGCATCCTTCCCTGCCACAACCTTTCCACCGCAGCTGCCAAACTGGAGGCCACCAAGTCCCAGCTGCAGCGGGAGGCCTACGTGAGGGAGAAGATAGAGGAGGCCAAGGATGTGGTGCAGTGCTCCCGCCTCTGGGTGAGGTGAAAAGCCATCTCTGGTAGAAGCTGGGGCTGCTCCAGCCCCAGGGAGCTGAGCCTTGTCTGCTCACCTTGTTCCATGGCAGGGTTATCTGCTCTCCTCTGTCCCCAGAGCCCCCCAGGGCCCCTCTTGTACAGGCAGGGCTGGAACTGCTTTGCTCCACGCCATGAACTTGCAGTGCTTCCTGTGGTTCCTGGTGCAGAAACCTCCCCAGGAGCACGGCCCAGATCCTGTACCCTGCAGGAGTGCCCTGGGCTGAGTCCCTGTGCTCTCCCCCGGCCAGGACATCCCCATCAGGCTCCAGGCACAGCAGAAGTCCCTGCTGGAAATGGAGCAGTACCTCACAAGGTGCAAGGAGAAGAAGCAGGAGCTGGAGAAGGCAGTGAAGGAGCTGGAGATGCAGCGCGATGAGCTGAAGTTTCGCCGGCCCCCAGACACAAGCAGGTACTGCTGGCCTCCGGACACTCATGCCAAAGGGGCCGGCACCCTTAGGGGCAGGGGGACACGTGCATGGCAGGTGTCCCAAGAGGGCAGCCCTTCCTTTGTCACCCTGCGGCTGCCCACCCCTCCCGCACTGGGAGGCTTTCTGAGCAGAGTGCTGCCCCAGCTCTGGTGCTGGCAGAGCACGCAAAGCTCCTGCGCTGGCAGCAGGAGGAGCCTTGCTCCTTGCCTGGCATGGGAAGTGGGAGCAGCAGCAGCGTGGGGTTGAGTTGCAGGCAGCATCTCTGCTCTGCGCTTGGGGGCAGGGGAGAAGCTGGGCAGCAGCTTTTGCAACAGCTTTGGGGTGTCTGCACCCCTGTGCCGTTGTATGGATGTGACCGTGGTTGGCTCCAGGGGGCTGGTGGAGGAGCTGAGGACGAGGCTGCAGCGGGAAGAGGCTCGGCTGGAACAGGGGCGAGCCCAGCTGCTGAGGAGCCAGGAGACGCTGCTGGACTTTGAAAACGCACTTGACAACCTCTTCGTCCGGCTGCGGGGCATCACCGTGCCTGGCCAGGTACCCGCCCAACGCTGGGCTGAGCAGAGCCCAGGCTCTGCTTGGTGCTGCAACGGCACCGTGTGGTGACACTTGGTGCAGCGACCATCACCCCAAGGGGCTCGTTCTCCCCACCAAGGCTGTTCCCTCTCTGACTCCAGGAGCATCCTGTCAAGGCCATGGCAGTGGACGAGAAGCTCCGGCAGTGTGAGCAGAAGCTGCAGTACCTGGTGCAGCGGGTGGCTGACCTGCCCCCCTCCAGCCACAGCGAGGATGATGAGGTGCACGGCGGCTCCATCCCTGCTGCGCTCTTTGGGGACCCGCACAGGCTTTCCCGGGTGGCCCGTGCCAAGCCATCCTCCCAGCTGGAGGATGGAGGTGCTCGAGGGAAGAGCCACGGAGCAGCTCAGGCCCAGGTGGCCCCGGGCTCTGTGGGGTGTTCCCTACCAGGGGCACATGGAGCTTGGGCACCCCTTTGCTTGTAACACCCGCCTCCCCTTCAGCTATGAACACAGCCTCTCTTTCACAGACTTTTGTGAAGGTCAGGCAGCTGCTGGAGGAAACCCTCATGGCCGATCCACGGAACCGGAAGGTTTCCTTGGAGGACACGGGCGTGGGGCTCCGAGGTAGGAAAGGGGACACATCCCACGGCAACTGCCCCAGCCAGCCCCTGCCTCCTGGCATTTCTGGCTGTCCTTGCCCATCTCCCACTGTCCCAGCAGAGCCCAACCCAGGAGTTGCTGCAGGCGTTGGGGCTGACCGCGCTTGGCTCCAGGCCTTTGAGCATAGTGCTGGTTTTCTGTGTGCATGTGGGAGACTGGAGGCAGATGGTGGCTTGGGGAGCGTAGAAGCACCACAGGAGCAAGGGGGGATGCTGTGGTGCAAGCGGGGAGAGCCTCGTCTTCAGAACCACTTGGCTGTGAATCTTCTTCACAGCCAGGGCTTGGCTCTGCCAGTGGCCTCCTCCTATGGGAGCTGCCGGCTCCTCCTGGGGACACAGGCACAGCAGAGGCAGCCCCACAGACCCTCCCCAGCCCGCTCCTCTCCGCTCTCTCCTCCAGACGATTTTGATATCCCTGACAACCACAGTGGCCTTGTCCTCACCAGAGAAGCCATCAAGAAGCAAGGGCTGGACTTGATCGAAAGCAAGAAGAAAAGCAAGAGGAAGTAGCGGTTGCTCCCCGAGACCTGGGGATGCCCCAGAGCACCCGTTGTGCACTTTTGCCTCCTGTTAATAGAGGAGACGTTTTTCATTCCATCGGATGCGCTTGGTGGGCTTTGTGTGACTGCAGGTGTGGGGATTCTATTGCCAAAACGTAGCACAAGCTGTGGTTTTGAAAGGAAGCTCCAGAAGGAGCATGATGTGCCAGTGACCACGTGGAATGGAGCTTCCCAGAACCAAGAGCCCAACAGGCACGTTCTTCTGCAATGCCACTGTGCTTTACTGTCACCCATCCATCTCCTGCCCCTGTCCTGTTCTCATGTGCTTACCACAGCCAGGGGGGTGAGCTGAACTTCTAGGAACTACATCATGGATAGCCTGCATAGAAGAGCCAAAATTAAAACACCCAATGCCTCCTCCCACAACTGTGCCAGGACAAAAAGCTCTTGCTGGGCATCACCTACACATGGTGAGCACCAGACAGGCCCCACCGACACGCCAACCTGCCCTTTCTCAGCCACCCAAAACTCCATCCCTCCACATGGAAGGGAACCAAGGAAAAGCTAGGGTGGAATGTGGGCATTGGCAGCAGCAGAATGGGAGGAAGCCCTGGGATGGTGAGGCAGCAGGAGGCCTGTGCGAGAGGACCGCCACTCCCCGGCGCTGAGGGACTGAGGAGCAGTGGGTCTGGACCCCAGCTGGGCACACTGTCCCCACCACAGTGGGGCGGTCATTGGCATCCATGAGGAATGGCTCAGGGAGATCCGAGAGGAGCCCAGAGGAAGGGGAGGGGGACAGAAAACAAAAGTGATGCGCAATACAATTGTTCATCCCCTGGGTGTCAAGGAGGCTGCCCAGCAGGATGCCAAGATGAAATTCCTGCAGAGCACCTTCACCCTGTGTGAAGCTGGCAGAGACAGGGGCTTCTCACAATGCCTGAAGGAGTTCTACCACCAATTGCAGTGTTAATAAACCCATTAAGCTGATGTAAACGTCTACTGGGGAGTAGATGCCCAGCATCACCTACACATGGTGAGCACAAGAGAAGCTCCACATGCCAACCTGCCTTGTCCTCTCACTACCTGCCCTTGTGAAAAGCCCCTCTCCAGGTTTCCTGTCTGCCACTTTAGGTACTGGAAGGCTGTTCTAAAGTCATCAAGAGCAGAAGACCATTCACATCTGGAAGGTATCCCCAGGATACCAGTGAAATGTTGACTATCTGGTACCTGTAATCCTTTACCTTCCTTTTACTTTCAGGACCCTCGTAACTAGGCCTGGAGGAGATGCCAACTCTCTGCATCCAGTATTTCCAGCCTCTGAAATGGCTTCCTGCCCTGTGCTGATGTTGAAGTCCATCCCACAGGCAGAGCAAGCCTGAGGAATTAGGGAGCAGGAGCCAGCGCAGGCAAGCCAGCAGCTGGGATATTGCACAGAAATGGCAGTCCATGCAACACAGAGATGCTTTTAGTTCAGCTGCTTTCATTTTTTTGCCCCTTCATATAATTCTGTAATAATCACCCTATTAACAATGTTCCATTTGCCACACACCTTGGGATATTAATCCTATTAGTTCGTGCTAATCCTCTGCAAAACAAAATAGAAATATTCATTTTCTCAGGGTAAAAAAAAAAAAGAGGAGAGAAGGAGGTGGGGGAAAGAGAAGACAAATTTGCTTTCAGAGCTTTGCTGTTCTGTAAGGAAACTGAATGGTAGTGGGTCTCCTGTAGTCTTCATATAGGATTCCATTATCACATAATGGCGTGTCACATACTGCCTGGTGATAAGAGACAGTCTTTCAGATTATGCATTAACTATCATATTCAGAAACCAGGCATTTTTCTACCCATTGGGGCATCAAAACACAATATCCCATTTCCCTTTCCTTCCCCAACCCCTTCTTCCTTTATTACCCACTAAGTAAAGAGCAGGGGGGACACTGGGCTGTGCTGTGAGCCCAAGATAAACTTTGCTGAGCAGGGAAAAAGAACTGCAGTGAGCATCCCAGAGAACAGAGGTCTTTCCTATAGGCTTTCATTTTCCCTCCCACCCCCTCTGGTGCTGTATTTTTTCCTACTGCCGTGCAGGATTGCTAGCAGCTTCCATTCTCCCCTGGTCCACAAAGTGAGACTGGCACCTACTGGAACCCGCCTGGAAAGGCTGAGCTATTTCATCACCATTATTTTCCCCCTCCATCAGACAAACAACCAGTGCAGCAGATACAGCATCAGAAGCACATGCCGCATTAAGCGTTTGACACAGCTCTAGCTTTTTAAAGGTGCTCAATTTTTAAGCTGTTTTGTGGTATCTGGGGGTAACCATCATTGGTCTCTTCATTTGTGTCAGCCCATATGGAGGGAACCGCAGGCATAGGTCCTGATAAAGCTCCCAGGGTTATTTTGGATCTTTGAGGCTATTCAACTCTGCTATGTCTGAGTACATAATGGAAGCAAGACCAAACATCCCTCCAGGTACATCTATTCATTAACTTCATCTCCCCTTCCTACACACACTCTATGCTGGTATTATCTCCTCACGTGATGAGTTCATATGCTGGTCCATCCTCTGGGATTCAGACCCCAAAATGCTGCTCTTCTATGCTTTTCCCCTCACCACAGACTTATTCTTTGATGTCGCCTTCCAAAGCACCGCTGGCCAGCAGCAATGGAGCAGCAACTTGGCTTCATTCCTCTCCCTGCTCCCATCTTTCTTTGCTGGCCCCACTCCCCACCATAAGAGCAGCCTTGTTCCCACTCCAGACCTCCAGGACAGCTCACACAGGCCTCCAGCAAAGCCCAGACATCCAACTCCTGTTCTCCAGGCTTCTATGAGCCCTGGAGAACACATCCTGACTCCACCAGGATCATGCAAGAGAGCAGCTGTTTCACAAGAGTTCCCTGCCAGTTTTGCTCTGTACTACACTGTGCATTTTATCATTTGCTTCAATGCATGGAGCAATGTGCCTCCCAAATCAGAGATCATCACCCCAAAAGCCACAAGATAGATGCCACAGATTACGCAAAGGCACATGAAACAGGGGGGAGGAAGGGCTGATGCCACAGCATGATCAAGGAAGAATAAGAGAAGAAAAGTAGCAGAACAGCTGATTTTTAGCTGGAGGCTTGCAACATCTCATGAACTGGAGGTGCCTCCATTATAGGAGTTGCACTCTCTCGATCCTCCTCCCCGTTCCTCCGGGAGCGGGGAAGGGGAGAGCCCCGGTGCGGGGGGGGGGGGGGGAGACGGGCACGGACCTCGATTGTTGTCAGCTCGGCACCACTCACTGGGAGTGAGTGAACAAGTTACCTGACTGGGTTTAAACCACGACAACTAGCTTTTCTTTCTACTACGGTATAAACTGTACACTGTACAAAGAGAAAAATGAGGCTTGAACAAATATAACCAAGTCACCCAGCAGGTATCAGGCCTCCCGAAACGCAGTGTGTAAGAGGACTCTAAAGCAGAGAGCTTAATGTTAGTTTCAAGCCCTGGATGTCCACCAAAACTAATTGATTACAACTCCATCAAGGGTTCCTTTTCCAGATTCCATGTGTCTACATAATTAGGAAAGTCCACAACAAGAGGTATTCCCCCTGCTTACAGAAGTGGTTGTGAAATGCAGTCATGTTTCTAGAGGAGCCAGTGCAAGAGGAGAGGTGGTTGATAGGTGCTTACTTTATGTGGGAGGACAGGCTTGAGGCTTCTGCTGAAGTAGCTGATCTCCATTTTTATGGACCTGCACCCACTCACCATCGTTATTTGATCTCTGCATACATGCCATTGGGGCACTTCTTCAAGGCATACTCAATGGACTTGCAGGCTTCAGCCTTAGGAAGGTGGAGAGAGACAAATTCCAAACTCACTCAGATTATACGTTAAAAGATGAAGATCCTTTTAGTCAAGTTCATGAACTAACAGTGCTTTGTAGCTCTTTTTGTCCAGGATCTCTAATACGCAGTCCAAGTTTTCCTTTTCTTAATTACTCATTTACTTAGAATCACCTACACATACCCAGATAATTACAGCTTTTCAGTGCTTGTCTCCTCCAAATACTTAAAGGTGAAAGTACTGTGCCTTTAGCAGGAGCATGCTTAGCCCATAAGTAAATATTTAACTCAATCTGTTCAAATAAAACCTCAAACTTATTTGAATCTCTAATGCAGTTGAAAGCTTACACTATTTCTATAGAAAGAATGGACTTCTGGAATGACAGCAAACAAAAAAAAGGCATTTCTGGACTGAAAGCAAGTCAAGATTTTAGCTTCTGCAGCGGCACTGAAGATGCAAGTACACTGAATATTGGCCTCCTGGTAGAAAACACTTTCTAAAGTGGTATTAAATCAGCACTGCATGCTCTGTTAGCTCACACTACAGTCATTTATCTATCTATTGCTTGTTAAAGTTGAGGGGTCTGACAGCGCATGTGAGAACCCCATCTCTCGAGCAGCTGAAGGTGCTCATTGCAGGGGAGCCAACCTTACCAGCACGGGCTGCACGGGGGTCATCAGGGAGGCCTGCACACTGAGGGTCCGCTTCAGACCTGGCATCTTCTCAGCCTCCTGCTGGTTCTTCAGGACTCGCTCTGCCATGCGTGATGCTTTGAACGCCTCGTAAGCATTGGGATCCAAAGCATCCAACCTTCAACAGATTGAGGAGAGGGGGAAGCATGGAACAACCTCAGCTCTGCTGCTCTGGGCTTATGAAGCTGCCCACTTCTGGTGGATTTCTCACGACGAAAGGTAAGACTTACACATGTTTTGCTCCAGCATTTATTTTCAAGTCATGCTTAACTAGCTTGATGATGCATTTCAGGTCGCTGCCCATACATCTGAAATGCGAGAGAAGATTCAGAAGTGGCAGACATTTAACTGAATTACTTGCCAGCTGAAAAAAAGAAACTGATCAAAAAAGGTCCTCCCTTTCTGGAGGGTTTAAAATTAAATAAGAACACGTTACCAGTGACAGCTCAGAGGCACAAAAGAATATCCAAAAAGCTTTTTAGCATCTCTATG